CAGTTACTCGACTGACTATGAATGTTTAATTTCAGAGTTTTCTAAATAACTCAAAGAATTTGAACAAAAACTGATTCCTAAAAACATTCGTTAGGTAAGTCAAAGGTTAACTTTTGGCTGTTGGTTTAAAATAATAAAGAATTTCTGATTTGCTAATGTTCTTGCCAGCAACGTTTTACTTAGCCATATTCAGCGATATGCCGCTCTTCCTGGTCTGGATTGGAAATACGAGGAAATTCAATACACCCTATACACAAATGACCTCATTTATAATCTTTTTATGTTATTTTTCCAAAGATTTATATAAACTTAGGACCTGTCAATGATTAGAAAGAGAAAAGCTGGGAATTTATCGCATAGTACACGCACACACATCTAAGGAGTCCGTTAATATAAAATGAACCTTTACTCGTTCAGTAAAAATGTTACAGAAAAGACAACAACACATTTTTATCGTTTATGCATTTAATGACAACAACTAAATGCAGTCAATATTTTTTTTGGCTTTCTCCCATTTTTTCCTTTTTCTATGTCATTATTATTGCAGTTAGACGTTCGTTGTACAAGCTCGTTATTTTGAAGGAGCAGCCACTCAGAAAGATACACACAGCTTTATGGACTCGAATAAACAGTAATTACTTTGAAATTATGATAATATCGCCGATCTACAAAAGTCAACTATTAAAAAAGAATGTCTAATCACCTTAAAATTATGGGCCTACTTATTGATTAAACCCCCGTAAATACACGTAAGCAGTGCTCGGAGAGGAATCGCTCAGTTGTTTAGCTCAATTACCCACATGTTCATTGTTAAAGGTCCGGCTTTTGTTGTGCGAAGAAGTGCGGTGTGTAAAAAAGGGTTTCCTTTGCCTCTGGAATCAATCATATTAGAAAGTACAACGTAAAGTCGCCGGCGACTCTAAAAAAAGGGAAAATCAGGGGCGTAGCGACCATATGTGTACAAGCGTAAATTTGGATCCCTGCAGAATTGCTTTTATCTATGAAATCGTGCTCATTTGCATGAATTCCTCTCAGTTTGATGCTACGACTTGGAATGGTAGAATGAACTGTTTGTCCAACCTAAAAGCTCTGTCGTTATGGTAAACAAAATGGGTCTCTAGAACAACATTCCCGATTTAAAAAGGGTTCAAAGTTAAATGATTCCAAACGATGTGTTTAAACTTCATTTAAAATTAAAGAAATGCTTGATCTTCTGGCCCTCTACATGATTGGGTGAGCCTTTCAAATGATCACCATTACCTCGTCATAGATTCTCTAAAGTAAAAGACAGACAAGAACGTCGAGTAGAGGATTAAAAAAAATGTCTTAATACTTGATTAAACAAATATTATCGCAGTATATAATGTTCAGGTTGCCATTTATTTTTTGATCTGAGGCGTCACAAGTGAGAACTGTGTTGACCCTTCAATGAGTTGTTTGCTGGGCTTCCGCCGGGCTTTTAGGATCTTGCATTCATATACCGAGCTAAAATGGGCCTTTCCTCAAACACAGAGAGGTAAATGCAAACAGTTGTGCGCTTATTGCGACAAGCCGCTGACAGAAAAAACCCACAAGGAACTTTTAAAACGTTTATACGTCAAAGTAATATGTAACAAAGTGTTCATTGATAAAACACTTCAAGAAATTGTTCACTTAAACCCGCATAGGAAAATGGAACAGCTGTAAAAACAAGGAAGAGCGCTAAGAGCAATGTATGATCTACTCTTACTATAAAAGTAGGCAGATGAAGAAGGACTTTTTACATGCAGACCTTCAGACAACAAAGAACTCCCGAGGTTTTTGTTCAAAATGACGAGGTTTGCGCTTTTCACCTTGTTGGCATTCTTTGTTGGAATTTACGGTAAGTTACATGGCAGCTATTCCATTTGTCTCTCACGTCTTCTTCATTTTATGGGTATTTAAGATTCTTACAAATTAGTCGAAGCAATGGGTAAAGGATGATTCAATTTTTCTGTTTTTGCTACTATGCGGATTGATCCTGTTGCCCTTTTAAAAGTCTACCAACTCGCGAATCTCACAATCACGGTTGTCCTATTTATATTTCCCATGAAGGACTTGTTAGCACTTTCAACTTGGTTTGTGAGGGCACTTAAATGAAGATGAAGTGTAAAGGATGCCTATATCTATTCATTCTGTTTCTTAAGGGGAATAGGTTAAGTTTGGCTGAAGTTTTGAGTAGGACTGATTAGTGCTACGTAGTAGTGTTGATTTTAAGGTAGTGTTGCATAATATGGACGAATACTTATAGTACTTGTGTTTTCTCTTAAAGGTAACCCTGTTCCTGACTTTGATGCGGACTGTTCCGAAGGATCTGGAGACTGTACCCGTAAGTCGTGCCATGAAGAGTGTAAAATCGTACATCATTCGTGGTTTATGTCAAGAAGCCCAGTAATTTTTTTTAATGGAGCTCTGAAATAGCTCACCAAATTTTCCCACACATTTCTAGTTGTACCATATATAATTTTTCGAAAGAGTTGTTTTTGCCACTGAATAGTCTAAGATGCCGAGATGCGCTAAAAAAAAACTAGCCCATTTCAAATAGTGTTGTAAGATAACACCTTTATTTTCTGAGGAGCCTTAAGACTGTCTACAAATAATTTTCAGTTAATTTCACCTTGAACATACTAAAAAAAATAGCGACAACAACAACAAAAACCTGGGAGTGAACGGCTTCAGAGTAGTTTGACATCATTATGATCCAGTCAAACTCGCAACACATACTGATCGATTAATCTTGTCACTAAATTAATCTTGTTTTAAGCCGCACCCCCAGCAGGAACTTCCGCACCAAGCCCTCCACCGCCCACTGGAACATCCGGTCCTCAACCTCCACCTTCACCGTCCTCCTGTGGCGATCGTCCTATTTCAAATGCACGAATTGTTGGTGGGCAAGAGACAATTAAGAACAGCATTCCGTGGCAGGCAATGTTACGCGGAAACAACGGAGGGCAGTTCTGTGGTGGTTCTCTGATCCATAAGCAGTGGGTTCTGACCGCAGCTCACTGTGTCACTGGATCGCAGCCCGGGCAATTTAAAATTTGGTAAAGATCATGTCTTTGACCTTTGCAAGGGCACTTCAACACCGGCTTGTTTTAGATGAGGCCGTAAATGCATATGCAGTCAATGTAGAATATTTCAAAATAATAATTATCATCCTTGTAACAATCTGATTTCGTCTAAGCCTAAGTGACAGAAAATACAGTCGCAGAATCTGAATTGACCAAGGCTCGAGTTCTCAAATGATCGCAATTTTATTTCATTTTTTCCCACGTTTGTGAAAAATGCATAACATATTAAGATCAGAACTAGTTGTTGGTTAAAATTTGCATTTCATATGACGAAAGTGAAGTATGACATTAAATCAATTGAAAGGGAATATTTCTAGTTGCTACAAAGGCATTTTTTTTTTGATCACTTTTTCTTTAAGAAGAGTAATTTTGAAGTTTAAAAGCATCGAAAATAGAGAATTTCGCCAACTGCTTCTACATCGACTGGCCACTTCCAAGCATTCTGCGATGCTATTTTTGGAACAATAAGGTATGAGCTTTGATCTCATACCTTATCAGACTTATCTCCCTTTTTCTTTTTGTAAGGTTGGGTGCACATCGTAAGGAAGTTAGAGAGGACACCACTCAAGAATTTAATGTTGTTGACATTGTACGACATCCACAGTACAATGCGAACACTAACGAAAACGACGCTGCTCTCATCAAACTCAACAGATTAGCAGTTCTCGGACGTGGTGTGGGGCTCGTCTGTCTAGGAGATGATATTCATCATCTCCCCTTGGATGACCTCACTAACCAGTGTCTGATAAGCGGATGGGGAACTCTTAGAAGCGGAGGTCAGCAACCAGATAAATTACAAGAAGTGACCGTTCCCTTAGTGTCTCCAAAAGTGTGTCAAAGCGCCTATGGCAACCTTCACGCCTCCATGCTTTGTGCCGGTTTTCGCGAAGGTGGTAAAGACAGCTGCCAAGGTGACAGCGGCGGACCATTGGTGTGCAACTATAATGGGAAGCACTACCTCGAGGGGGCTACCAGCTGGGGAGAGGGTTGCGCCCATGCTGGAAAGTATGGCGTGTACGCTAAAGTACGTTTTCTGAGGAAATGGATCGACAACATTATCCGTCAGTAATGGAGCAATATCGACACTGAACAGTGTAGATTATTGGAAAAGCGGGAAATTGTAATGCACAGTATGTAGGGGGTAACAAGGGTAAACATGAATAAAAAGAGCAATGTGCTAAAAATTCTTATCAACTTCTTTGACGAAAACTTTACATACAGTAAATCGAACTTTATGGCAACCTGAGAATGCAGTATGATGTTGTGTTTAAGATTTTCCCAATAAACAACACCCGATCAAACATATGAGCAGAGGGTCGGGGTTCACCTTACGGAAATGGGAAATCATACAGTGACTCAGTGAACATTCTAAAAAGTTCGATAAGCACCTTTCAGCGTCTTTTAGGTTCCCAAAGAGTGGCGCAAATGGTTCACTCGTGATACGTGATTTTGGGTAACAATATCAAGGCACGTGCGAAATTAGCGGTAGGGATTATCGCGCTTTTTTTTTCTTTTTAGCATTACCTTGCAAAAAAAAACAACAACAACAAAAAACAATAATGATAACCATCTAGAGCAGCTGGTTAGCCATCATCAGTGTCTATTTTGGGAAAACCGAAAAAGTTGGCCTCCCCCAGATTTTTAACAGCTCCCTTTTTCTGGCTATCGTTTCATGTTAAGTTTCCTTAAAAAATTCCCCGGTGTCCATTTCTTCACTATTCAGGGTTGTACAGAGAGGTCTTCAGTGGAGAACATAACACAATATCCCTAGACAGGAGTCGAAGTCTGATTTCTGGATCTGAAATAATGCGCGCCAACCAAAGCTTTTTCACATATATGGAAGTGTGGAGAAGCAGCAAATGGGAAACTATCCCTCGTGTTGTCACATAAAGTAAAGATGAAACAAGAAAACTCAGGATAAAATACGATGTAATCTGATTTGACACAGAAAAGTTCTGTTCTATAATCGAGCAAATTAACTCAATTTCACAATTAGTTAGAATTTTCACCAGACTTATCGAAGTCAATCGTTACATCCTGACATCTTTTCCCTTCAAAACCCTTCGGGCAAACGCAATGGGAACCTGCGACGCCTGGAAGCTTAAAACATGTCCCACCATTGAGGCAATAATCGTCCCTGAGTGGCGGGTCACATTCTGTGAAAAAAAAAAAAAAAAAAAAAAAAAAAAAAAAAAAAAAAAAAAAGAGGATAGAGACATGGAACCTTATTTATAGAATTAATGTAAAAAGGGAGGAGATTTATTAACCCTGGGTGCGCGAATGAGAACGATTCTTTTTAATTTCGAATCACTTTCTTGTGGTGTGTGCCTTCTTCTTCTGCCGATTTAATCGTTTGGTTCATTGAGATAATGGTAAAAATGTTAAGAAAAAAACAGAGAAAGGAAAATAGTGAAACTATTATTTTAACAAAAGAGGTCACACGTAAAGAGTAGTTTTGAAATCTCAGTTTTTAAAGGACCGATCAACAGGCTGCGAACTAGGAAGTACAATTGTGTACAAAAGTACAAAAAATTATCTCTGCGAATAACTTCGTGAATTTAGAGGTTCCTTTGAAAAGGCATATCGAAAACGCGTCGGCTACAGCTCGAAGGTTGCTAAAAGCGAAGTAATAGGTGTCCACAAGTAAGAGACTTGAACATAATGAGACAAATAATACCTGAGTGTCTAATATGAAGCCCACGTAAAAAAAGAAAAATAAAAAGAATTAAGTTAGAAAATAAAATGAAATGAAAAGAAATGTTTGCGTTTTTTCTTCCAACATACCACTGCTTCCACTCGGCACACCATCTTCTTTAGGGGGAGCAGCTGCTGTTGTGAAAGTAAGAGCCAATTAATGAAGGAAGGAAGTGAAAAATCAGTAAGAGTGTTTTACATAATGTTTAAAGTGATTTTCAATAACGTAACATATTATTCATTTAGATTTCCTTTAGTGTTAAAAAGGTGAGACATATTAAATACTTCAGTGTTAGGCTACAGCAAACATTAAGATCAAAGCTATACACAAATTCACAAATAGCCTTTCGTAATTATCATGAATTGTGGCCTAGGTATCCTTACTAGTACCTTTGTGTTTCGTAGCGGCTGTATAGTCAATCCCAGCAAGAAGCAAAAAAATAATCGCCAGTGTTGTCCTCATGTTGATGCCCTAACTTTCTGCTCTAATCGGCTTGTAAATCTCAGGAGTCTTGCTTTCCTTCGCATTTGGGTCCCTTTTAAGCTTAAGTTATCTGAATAAGACTGGTACTTCATTATCTGTTACTGATGAAGCGTCCACCAGTACGTTGGCGGATGTGGTAAAGCGTGGTTAATACTGTTTGTATCACCGGTTAAAAATTTTCCATGGCGCCGCGCTCTTCAATTTTTAATATAAAAGTCACCTTGTTAATATAGCCACAACATCTGGACTAAAATGTCTATAACTTCTGGAAATGACTAGACTTTAAACTCGTTTGGCACAAAAAAAAGGGGATAACGAGATAGTTGTGTTGACTGGTAAGTCCCACAGAGAGGTTCAACCTTTTGACTTGTTATGATTGCGTGCGTCTAGAGTATGGATATGGTTAACATAACAATACTATACCCTGCTGCGCTCGTTTCTGCCGGTACAAGAGTAGAAATAAGGGCTACATTCCAACGTATGACTAATGTTATTGAAATTTTCCATGTTGTTAGATTATTCCTACCCAATTAAGCGTTCACCACCTTATACAAAAAACATCTACAGCATTGCTTGCTGCCTTCGCTCTTCTACTTGAAGCTTTTTTCCAGTTGCATTTGAAATGTAGGCCTTTTTTATTGTCATTCCCTCATTACGATCAAGTGACTCCATTGGAAAGAGAAAAATGAACGAAGTGGTGGTCGTGTTGAGTTCAAAAAAATTTCCAAGGTATTATGCCCTCCTACGCCTACTTTGGCCAACGAGGAATAAAGGAAATTTGCGTGGTAGGAATTCATTTTTCGCATTTTTGCACTCCTACACATAACATGGTCCACTAACAGGTCGAACGAACATTATCTTTGCCACGTCGTGCTTAGATTACAGTTATATGATTCTCTATTCTCCTGGCATGTCGTCTCTGGAGATAAATAGCAGCGAATCCTGTGGACCTGCGCAACAAGCTCCATTACTTACTTTTCGGCTTTAATCTGCTTTCAATGATATTCAGTTACACCACAACTGTACTTGATTCAAAAATTAGTTTATTCTGACGAAATTCGAGGTCGAGGTCGTCATAGTAAAATACAGAAAGCCCTATATTTTTAATGCCCATAAAATTAAAAAATAAAATAAAAATACGCCAATGAGGACAAGAAAATTTCTAAAGGAATATTCCAGCAGCTACCACAGCTCCTTTAATACTCGTCGACAAGTATACTTAAACACCGATCCTCTTGATACAAATGTAAATAACAGTGAGGAGGACTTCCTTATGATGAAGTAGCACGAGCCACAAATAATTAATATAAAAACCAGCTGAGGGTCTTCCCCGTAACAAATAAATTCTGCATTCACCAAAGTGTCAAATTTGTCGAACTCTGCTACCGTTCCACGTTTCAAAAGTAAAATTTTATCACAGTCTTTGATAGTGTTCAATCGATGAGCTATAGTGATGACCGTAGAATCTCAGTTTTTCACGCACAACGCCCAAGTCTTTTGACAACGTAAGCCAAGGCAAGTCCAGCAAAAGCTAATTAGACGAAAAATTGAAACAATGAATTAAGCAGATACGATTTTAATTGATTTTCCACACTGAACAGTCAAAAAAGTAATCCTGTCACGCCCTTGCCGTGGAAAGTAAAATAAGGCAATACAGGGGGTTTTCCTGAGAAGATGCGATGTAGAGCAAAAAATGGGAGATTGCACGGGTCACCAGTGATTAAAAAAGGGATGTAATAAAGTATTTATTCCACTTTGCGACTCGATTGACCACTAGTACTTTAAATTATGCACAATATTAATCCCTGATTTCCCTCAGTTCTACGCAAATGTAATATACTATACCCTTTACTGATCACCTAATTCTAATGAACCCGTGTAGATTTGGGTTTTCTTGCGCTTTCGGTTACTCAATCGAATGAGGGTATGTTTTTTAGATACATACTCACCGCCATCTTGAGACATAATAATAGCTGAAAAAGCCACTGCACCAACAAATAGTGATGCAAGAATTTCAAATTTCACACTGATCCATTTCCCACCGGCCATTACCAAGATGTTTGCTTGATTCAGATTTAGAGGTAAAACAAAACAGGCATGTTCAAATAATATTGCAGCTTCAAAATGATGACCACAGTGTATGGATTACACCATCTGTAACACTAGGTCATTTCAGAGATCTTAATTTCATGGTCAGTGCATATCAGCTCTAAGAAAAAATTGAAGGGAGCCCAGTGCCGTGAACCCGTGATATACAGGATACCCAGCATGTGCTGTATATGAAAAAAAAAAACAGATTTTCAAGCTGCCCAGGAAGAAAAGTTAGCACGCGAAAGACCACCGGGGACTTCTAGAGCACAGTTTTGAGCTAGAGAATGCGTATGCCAAGAGCAAGTCCAAAGGCTCATAGGAAAGGTTACCACAAAACAAGACTTAACAAGAACAGCTGTATTCAACTGGTCAAACTACAGAAAAATTCACGTTTGGTCTCAAGTCCTGGTACATTCTACATCAATGGATGGATTGAAACAAATGCAAATAAATAACAACACAAAATATATTGAGCCATGAAACTTCTGAAATGTTATGTGACTAGTATGACTATAATTATTGAAGCATAGTTAAACAGCTAACCCGCTGGGCTTTTTCTGCTACTTTTGCATCAACATTTCTTGATTTTTCTTCCAAATTATTTAACTAATACAACAAAATAGAAATGAGTGAATAAGATATATCACATGCACAAACCACAATGAATCTTAAGAATGACTCAGCCCCAAATATCCCCCCTGATATTATATTTTTGGCAATATAAAAAAGGTTTCAAGCCCAAAAAAGGTCAAACTTTATTTAAACTTGCAATAATAATTTTCCTGTACTTGAAAATTTTTATTGCTGTAATTGATTTCTTTTCTGCAAAAGTACGTTAGGAAATGAATGAGTGAATGAATGACACTTTATTTCAATAAAGTGCATAATAATATTACAGTTCTACTGTATTCTCCCCCTATGAAACTACTAAAATACTAAAATCCTTACTAAAATTAAGGTAATAAATGATTTAAATATCAAGTTTAAGAAAGCTAAAAACATTACATCAATTCGAAAGTTTTCATTTGAGAATTTACTCAAATTTACACGATTTAAAACTAAAGTACTTTAAGAAAAATTATTAAAATGTAAGTCATTTAAAAAGCTAAAAAATTCTGTGAATTTTCACATAACTGAATCAAAATACTTTTTTTTCAACTTCTTTACATCAGAAGAGCAGACTAAATCATTGTCACTGACATTATTCCACAATTTAACTGAATTATAAAAGGACATTATTCTGCTTCATGCTATTGGTACATGGAATGGGAAGGTGATAAGGCAACCGAGACTTTGTATCATGTGACTTGTGATATTTCAAAGATAACATTTTCTCAGAGAGGTAACACAATGCATTTCCATTCAGAATTTTTTTAACAGAAGGAGTCTTGTTTCAATACAGATTTGATTGATGGGTAGCAACTGAGTGCCAGAAATAGTGGCAGGGTTCTAGCCTGAAAAGGAGCAACTAGTATAATATGCACACATCTTTTTTAACTTAAAAAACCTCATCCAATAATCTTGCATTACAACTTCCCCAAATGGATACAAAGTACTCAAGAATGGGTTTGATACTAGCATTAATTAAACTGATGTGATATTTAACCGATAGGAATTCTTTTATGCAAGCCATAACAGCAACATGCTTTAAAGAGTTTTTCCTGAGATTAGCTAAATGGGATGACCAAGATAGGGAGGGATCAATATCCAGTCCCAATAAACTGCTTGTAAGGGAATGTTAATAGAATAAACTGCACATGTAGACTACCAAGAAAGACAAAAATGGTCAAAGGTTGAACAAAGACAAAAAAGATATTGGCCACAAAAATTCAGCCTGTCATGAGTGAAAAGAAGAGTTTATATTTAATAAAAAATTATAGAAGCATAATAGTCAGTGCAAGAGAACATCATAAATTGATATGAATCAACAACATTGTTTTCCAGCAGCATCCATGTTCCTCATGTATGCCTATTAGTCTCCATGCAGACATCTCCTAATTCCTTTGTTGCACACACAAAAGGGAAATTAGTATAACAGAGTCACTTATAACATTGTTTCAGAGTATATCCTGTTGTTCAGGTTTCAGTTTTGAACATTGAACTTCCTTTAAGTGACCACCCAAATGCAAAGTACTTGCTAATTGGACTTGGTCATCTAGAAGAGAATCTATCCACAGGAGATCTATCCCGAGAAGAGGACTGGGTATAACTACTTTTTAAAAGATTTCCACTCAGAAAAAAAAAATTATATCTTTTTCATGTACTTTGCACAATTTTTTTAGTATCCATTTGAAAGGTTTCATAATTTCTACTCTAAGATTACAAGACTATGCCCCCACAACATCTTGGACAGTGAATGATTCTGTATCATAATTATTTTGAAAACTTTGAGATTCTCAATATTTTAAAAAATGTAAAACAGAAGTAAAAAGCTTTGTATAGTCAGGAAAAGGGAAGGGCAGTCTTTACTGTAACAGGACTTGAAAAAACCTCAAATTCTAGTTTGACCTTTGGACTGGCAGCTCTCACGTTTTACTTTTCCAAGGCCATTGCTTGCTAGCTTTAGCTAATTGTTCAGTTACCAGATGTCTTGCATGGTCCCTTGCCTACTGGACCACAGGCAAACCACCCCTTTCATGGGGCCATTGGTATTACTGAAACCTGAGTATCGGTTTTTTTGTACTCAATAAAATAAATTAAGATGAACATTACAGCCACTAAAGTTCACTCCAAAATACAGATTTGAACCAAAATGTTCAAACAAATTTCTAGCAAAATGTTAATTTAGTCACCCATCGTGTTTTTTCATCATCCTGAGCTGTTAAAAGCATTTTTTTGTGAGATGATTGTTTGACCAGACATTTAGAGCTAGAGAATGTTGATCTGTTTTTCTTCTATTGAGTACAAAAGACCAATGCCCAGATTCAATAACAACAATGGCCACATGAACAGAGGGTGGTCTGCCTGTAATTAGCCAAGCGAGGTTAAAAAGTTACTTGCACAAAAAGAAAATCTACATCTCCTGGATGACCAGATATGACTTTCTCCAACCTCTGTCTAACAGGCCAATTTTTTACAGATAAATAATGATATCATAAATTCCCACTTAAACAGGGGAATATCCCTAAGTGTGTGATGAGGGAAAGAAAAGTCCCCATGAGCCACATAAAAAATCATTCATTTAAACTGGCTTTATAAAATATTCAACTTATTGACACACAATGCCTACAACAGGAGTCTAGCAAGACAGTTATTTCACTTGGCTATGCCATTAAGGAAAACACCGTATACTACAAAATACAAAGCCAATTTTGGCAACATAGCAAGGGAATATTCACAAACTGGAAAAAATTGCACAGTTTTGTGTCTAACAAACTTGATGTTTGCTTCACTTTCCCTTCTGAAAAGTAAAGGTTAGAAGTGTACCTAAACCATTTATTTTACAGCAGTGTTTACCTTAGCTGTAATCAGAATATGTCATGGCTATACTTAATAACACCACAGAAATGTCTGCCTGGAAGAGTCTGTCTCTTGCATTCAAAATGTTCAGATTTCTTATTCAACATTTATCCATACTAGTAATAATTGCAAATTAGGGGAGTGCGTTCGATTGGGGAAGGGGGTGGTGGGTAGTGAGTGGTAGTGGGGAGGGGGTGCAAAACCTGATGGCCTTGTAATATTGAGAAATCAAAATCACACTCTTTTAATTATCCATATGAATATCAGCAGCTTTCTTTATCAGTGTTGCTGTTTATCCTCCCACTTAACAATTCGTTGCTATTTCATTTTTCCTCAAAAATGCAAGAGCGCACTGTACTTTTTACATTTACTTGGCTAAACCTCTTAGTAAAGTACATGTAAGTAACAACAGGTCAAACACTGACTATGGTCCTCAGGATACTCTTTTGCATTGTAGGATGGTCAAAAAAATTGGCTAAAAATTGGGATACAGAAAATTAAAGTTACCTGAAA